ACCCCAACCAGGCCTGCGGCTTTCTCTCTGCCCCGCTTCTGCCGCTCTCCCTTATCTGCTCGGATTCAGAATTCAGGCCCATCATCACCCATTTTGTCTCTCCAGCCCTCCTCAGCTACCTTCCAGGTTCTGGCGTGAAGAAATAACCCACTTGGTTCCTCTCTTCCCCTTTGCCCCTAGGGAGAAGCCGAGACTTCCTGCTGCACAGGCTGTCCTTACTTCCCTCGCCTCTCCAGCCCCTTGTGCCCACATCCAGCTGGGCGGCGCTGCTCACACCAGGTTTGGCCCGATGACCGATGGCCTGCGCGGAATTCCTTCAGGGAGCGCAGAAACACGACGGGGAGGACGAGGGGCTTGGTTGTCCCATAAAGGAAGGAGGGTAGGGCTGGAGTGGGGAGAGCTGCCAGCCAGGCTCAGATGCCCTTAGAAGGAGGGCCTGCGGCCAGACCAGCTCTGTGGGGGTCTGCAGCCCTGCGGAGAAGACCTGAGAGTCAAATCAAGACACAGAAGCAGGGAAAAGCAGCTGCTGAGGGGGCGCTGGGAGGCTGAGAAAAGGCAGTGCTCATGCAAGTAGCTGTGCCTGGAGGGAGCGAGGGTGAGAGCCTCCGAGGGCCCGTGCCTGCAGGTCAGGGGCGCCTGCGGGTTCATGCCTGCACCCCACACACGGCCTAAGCATGTTTCCCTTGGATCATTATTTGCTCAGCGGCTACTGAGTGAACCTGCAGCTCTGGGTAAAGGCGCCTCCCTGTCACTTGGTGCTCTTTTGGTTTGTGTCCGTCCTGGAGCTGAGCAGGGTGGCACCTTGCTGGCGTTTGCCCTGCTGGCGTTTGCCCTGCTGGCGTTTGCCTGTGCGTTTGTCTTAGGCACCTGGCTGTCCGTAGATGTGTGTGTGCGGCGTACTCAGCCAGATATTTTGCTTTGCCTCCTTCAGTTTCCTGTGTCTCCCCCCACAGCCTGCCAGTCCCCAGCCCGGTCCCCCACCTTACTTTGGTGGGAGGAGCTGTGAGCCAAGCAGTTTGTGGCCCGGCCTGCAGTGCCTCCTGGCTGCTGCTTGCTGAGGTCGGACAGGCTTTGGCCGAACCCCTGGCGCCCCATGTTTAGGCACCCAGCCTTCTTGACCTCTCCACTGGGGGTCCCCATTCTCTCAGCTTCCACTTCCCAGGCAGGTCCCCCAATTTATGAACGGGTTTGAGGGTCCTTTTGCTGACCTGGAAGATGCTGGCTTTCACACGCTGGAGGTGTTAGTGGAGCTTGGGTCCTCTGGGAATGATTCAAAACAACTCATTTAACGGAAGGCCATCAGGGGAGAAGAGGGAGCTAGACACAAGCGTCTACCTAAGGTAATTGAAAGAATAAAATTTAAAAAAAAGACAAAAAAGTGGAAAAGAGAAACATCAGCCAACTTGACTCTCGGCTGCTAAGTAGTTGAGTCAAGATAGCCCTGAGGATAGAGAAAATGGTGAAAATTTACCACCATTTGGAAAACGAATAATGAAATGAAATCAGGGAGAAATGACAGTTACTCATCTTGGCTCAGCTCTGGAAATGTTCTCTGCAAACAGAAAGCATCTTCTCCAGGCTCAGTTGTGGGCGTGGCATCGCCCCCACCCTGGCACTGCTCCGTGAGTAGGGCACACACAGCCGTTCCCGGGCTTCCTCCTGCTGCTCCCACTGCTGCCCCAGGGCCACCCATTCCTTCCCTCCATCACCGATGGAGCAGCTTCCACGTGGTCACTCACCCAGTGCCTTCTGCTCTAGGGGCCCAGATACAGTGGAGAGAAACAAACATTTCTGCCTTCTGGGTTTATAATGTAATAGTGATGGTGGAGAAGCAGGAAACTGCCAACACACAGGTTAGTAAAACATGCAGGCTGCACATTGTGGGAGGTGAACGCAGCCAGAATGGTGGTGGCTGGGCAGACTGAAGTTAGAGAAGGCAAATTCCAGACACTAGGGACACTGTGGGCTGGTGGCGTGGCAGCATGGGAGTGCCAGCTGGTCCTTGCTGTCTGGGGACTGAGTCTGCAGGCAGGGCTGGGCAAAGGGAGCCCGCCAGCAGCGGGAGGATGGTCTCAAAGCTATTTTTCTCATGTAGCCACATGCTGTACACACCTTTCCAAATCAGTGCATTCTAGATCAGGGCAAATAGCCTATGCCTCCGACTACAGGTGCCTCTGGTAACCCAGGTGGGGTCATTCATGCAAAAAGCACCTACTAGAGCACATACTCTGTGCAAGCATGGTTCTAGAGTTTGTAGATAATAAGATGCAAAGATGAAGTCCTTCCCTCATGGAGCTTATGTTCTATGGGGCAGACAGAATACATAGGCAAATAAGGATAAGCAGTTAGAATGTTCAATAGTGTGACTCCAGTGGCGCCAGGAGGGTGTCCGGGAGAAAAGATGGGGAGAGGACTGCAGGCAGAGGGACCAGGAGGCAGGACGCCCTGGATCGGTGGAGAGGCGGGCTGGCATGCAGCAGGAGAGTTCCGCACAGAGAGGAGCAGGGCCGGGCCGTGTGGGACCCGACAGGTCACCGTAAGGACTTGGCATGTTATTTGTGGTGTGAAGGGAGGCCCTTGGTGAGGGCAGGTTGGGACCGCCCTGATGTGCCTGGCAGCTTAGCAGAACTGTGCTGGCTGCTGTGTGGAAATCAGACAGGCGTCAGGGCAGAAGCGGAAGCAGAAAGCACGAGGGCACGAGGGGATGGATGGTTGAGCCCAGCTGGTGGCAGTGGGAGGTGAGGGGGTCAGACCTGGGCACCCTTTCAGAGGGCTCACCCCGATGGATCACAGAGTGAGTTATGGCCCAGGCCGTGCCTCTCAGAATGCAGCCCCGGTGGTCATGAGCCACCAGCTGCCTGGCACCATAGTTCTGTGATGCGCGTGGCAGGACCGGTTCTAAGTGGCAGAACCTGAATTAGGAAGTGAGTGTCCAAAGTTCTTTGATCCAGAATATCTCTTAACATAGTGTATTTGGTTGGGAAATTGTGGCCAAAATGTGCTTGAAATTGTAATCTGCCTGGCAGGTCAACTGTATTTGGGTTTCCAACAAGCAGCGGCAAACATATGGCACCCGCTGAACCGCTCCAGGCCGTTGCAGACACTAACTCATGGGAGAAGCCCCAAAGCAGTGTGCCTAGTGGCCACGTCAGTCACTGCCCTGCTCACTTCTCATTGGCCTTGGAGAGCCCTGACCTACCGCACAGACGGAGACAGAGCAGGGCTGGGTGATCACTAGGTGGGCCCGAACGCCAGAGAGGGAAGCTTGGCATCCTCCTGACCCGCATCTTTGTTCAGTGAGAGGTGTCCTGAGTGTGAGCCTTCCCCAAAGACTGCTCCAAGTCCCTCTGCAGTGACAAGTGTCTTGTCACTTGGTTGGAGTGTGTCGGGGAGGAGAGGGGGCTCAGGATGGAGACTCTGTCCTTCACACCAGAGTCAGCAAGCAGAGAAAGGTGTGCTCCGGGCACTGCCATGGGCAGCAAGGGGCTGAGTCGCAGCTGCTTCCTTAGCAAAGCAAACAGGAGGCGAGGATGCTGGGCACGACACACTGAAGACAAAGATAAACGACCAGAGGGACAGACAGCCCTGTTGTCTCAGCGCAAAGCCAGGCTTCCAGGTTTGGCTTTCCACCCCCCGGCCCTAGGGCATGGGGTACTCAAAGCACATTTAAAGTGCCTAAAGGAGTTTCTCCTGGGTGAGGCAGAGCCCATTTTTATGTCTGAGAAGAAAGACATCCTGGGAGCAGGAGAAGCTACTTCTGTCTGTCACAGCTGCAGGCTTACAGAGCTAGACCCATGTGACATTTGGTTTTCTTAACTGATAACAGCTTTCCTAAAATATGTACCCAAAATATTTTCCCAAAATACAAGGAGGTAGGTACAATTTTCCCAGAGTCAGTACTGTGCTCAGTCAAGTTTTTAAAAGAGCCAGTTAAGGGACTGGACACATCCCTTCTTTTTCATTAGTTGGCTGTATTCAAGTGAGATCCTGCTAAAATCTCAAGCCCTTCTACACACGTGGCCCCTACCACCAGTCAGGGCCTCGGGGCCTGGGCCTGACCTCAGCCGAGTCACAGGAGGACCTAAGAGGAACCTCCGGGGGTGAGGGCCAGACGGCGTATCCCAGGCTGACCTCCAACCGCTGATGCCACTTGAGGGCTGGGACGTGTCATCATGGGGAAGGGGTCTGCGCTTACGCTGGGGAACAGTAGGGTTGGCAAACTCAGTGTTTTTTTAGCTTTGTCCTATGGCCTTTGCATGCATGCGCCTAGTGACTTCCTGAGAGCCGCAGCAGCACCACTCTCGGGAGGCTTGATTAGAGCGCCCTTGGAGGGCACAGCAGGCTTCACCCGCCAGGGAGATGCTCATGAGCAGAGTCCTTCTGAAGGGCGTCAAGGGTGGACCCTCCAGGTGGGTGTGAAAATGCAGTGCCCGAGTCCAGGTGAGTGAGTGATGTCCTCAGGGTGGGCGGGGGTATATGGGGTCTCTGGAGTTTGAATCCCATGTTCCCCAATGGAACAACTGGGATGGGCTTGGTAAGTGGTGGGGACCCCTGAGCACAGGGTGCCCCAGGGGATGTGAGGGGCAGTGGGGAGTCAACAAGGTAGTTCCAGACCAGAGTACCAGACAGAAAACAGGAGAGCAAGTCTGGTCTGAGCTGAGAAGTGGGATTTCATCTTATAGCCTGCCTGGAGAACGGCAGGTCCAAGAAGCCCCAGGATGATTTCTTAGGTGATGGTTTTGAAGGAAGAAGGGAGAGACTGGGAGATTCCAAGCAGAAGGCATGGTGGAAGTGGGTGGTTATGGCACTCCCCTTATTGTTCTTTTGGGTGAACAGGTATCAGAAATCCAGCATGCTTGCTTCCAGCACCTTGAACCACAAGGGTCCACATGCCACCTAATTCGCTGCTAGCCTGTGAGAACAAGGCCACTGTTACCTGTTCTCCCAGGACTGGGCAGGCTCAGCCTAAGCTGATCAAGTAAACTGACATGACAGACTCCTTCCTCATATACTGGTTTATTGCAGCAGGAAAAGAGAACAATGTGCTCCAAATCTTAGGGCCGCGACACGCTGATGTTCCTTCCAGGCCTTCCGAGGCCACGTTCCCCATGGAAAGTAACCTGGATACAGCCAAGAGGTAATATTTCAGATAAGCAGAAACAGGGATCAGATGCTCCCTGCAATGGCTTTAGGAATTTTGGAAAGGACGGGCATATTGCAATGACTTTAAGTGTGGCTAAAATTCCCCAAATGAATTCCTACAGGGCAGCAGTACCCCTGAGGCTGATTAAAGCATCCTGTGAAGTCTCAAGACCTTCAGATAAATGGGACTCAACAGCAGACGAGTGGGAACGTGAAGGATGGGCAGACCTACAGGTGACAGGCCATGCCTGGCCACGCGCCTCTTGGACTGAGGCGTCCCCACCGGGAGTCCCCCTGGTGCCTTGTGGCTCTTACAGCCATTGGATGTGTGCAGGCTGATTTCTGAATCAAGGGAAGAGCAGGATGGAAATGCGTTTTCCTCTGACAGGACGAGAGCTCGAGCTCTGGGGGCTGGTCGGTCGCTCCCCCTTTTCCTGGTCTCCACTCCCCTGCGGCCTTGAGAAGTCTCAGCAGAGGAGCTCCTGGTCTGCAGTGGTAGGTGAGGACAAACAGCCTCAGGATTGGAGCTGGAGGGACCTCTGGTGTTAGGTGTAGCGCTCCCCGTCGGAAGGGACACTTCAGACCCGTCCTGTACCTAACTGGGCCCTATAAAGCTGCCTTTGACTTCTTGGAGTCTCTGCGATGCTGACACCTCACGGGGGTGGGGTGAACTGGCAGTCTAGTCTGTGATTCCCTAGGCAACCGTTCGGAATTCTTCGTCCAAATGTCAGGCAGCAGCTCAGGCTTTGCCTTCTGTTCTTGAGTGAGGGGAGAAGTTGAGAATGTTAGAAAGCTGGAAGGGGGGTCCTGGCTCACTCTCAGGGGGGCGGGGGCTGCGGCCAGCAGTATGTGTCCTCTGATGCGGCCCTGGAGTGACTGAGGACACAGTATGGAGAGCTCACCTTGTCTGGCCACCAATTCCCACTCGGCGGGCAGGTAGGGAGTTGGGGGAGCGGGGCAGGCAAAGGACAGGCCTGCTTGTCCACCCCCATGAGGAAGAAGGAAAATAAAGGGGGTTAGAAGAAGAAATGTATGAATACCCTCAAAGAGAAAAATGTTTTTTCTTTATATTAATCTACTGAGCCAGCCCTTTCTAAAAGGGGAACATTTTGGATATTACCAATAAAACACAAATTGTTGCATGATCACTGAGCACCAAAACATTTTACAATTTTGTACTAAGCCCAGTGTTTTCTCTTCTTGAGCTCCAGAACTTCTAAAGTATTCTTGCCTAACAGTGAAGGGTAAAACAATTGTGCGTCTCCCTGTGTGATTTTGTTTTTCCCCTCACGCTCATGCGATTTCAGCTCTGAGGCTCTCCCTTGTCGCTCGTCCCACCTGGGGACGGCTTGCAGGTGAGCATGAGAAGCAGGAGCAGGGGCAGGTGCCAGAGGCTGCAGAAGAACAGTTTCCTGGAGCTCTTCCGGTCCGCGTCCAGGTAGAACCGAAAGCCGAGGTAGGAAATATACAAGTTGATGGGGAGGGAGATGATGGGGAAGGTCCACGTGGTGACATCCAGGACAGGCGCTGCAGCAGACAGTCCAACCAAGGCCAGACAGTGGCGCAGGGCGACGCGCCTGCACAGGGCCGGGTGCGTGACTGACATCATGCAGTAGCCTCCTCGGGAGTAGTCTTCACGGAGGCCCCAGCTCAGTGCGTTGAAATGAGGAAACTGCCAGGAGTAGAGGATTCCTCCCAGAAGAAATGCTCCTGTGTGGGGTTTAGGAGAGAAGAGGGAAGCAAAGATACACGGTCAGCAGAGATTGGCACATGGTTTTCTCTCACCCGGATCTCAGGTTCTCATCTCTGCCTGCCCACGTCAGCCTGGCCTCTGACACAGGGAGGGTAGGAAGCCGAATGCTCTCCCAGATCCCTTGAGCTTCTCCCTGGGGGTGGGGGGGGTCCCGGCATCTGGGGGTGGCGCCCACTGCAGGACGGTGAGCACCTGACTTCCTGCCCCCAGGGGTCCCACCATCGAGACAGCCAAAGAAGCCCCTGTACACTTGTTTGGGGGAGAGACTGTCCTGCGGGGGCCTCTGTGTTTGGGTTTCTAGCTGTTTCCACAAGCTGGGCCTTGCCAGTAAGGTGCTTGGGCGAGGTGGGCCCTCCCCAGGGCAGCTAGCAATGCCCTCTCCGCACGGACAGAATTGAATGTACCCCCGGCCTGCGCTGAGCACCCTGGCTTGTCTCTGTACTGACTGTTTCATGGTGGCCTGCCGCAGCTTCCAGGGCAGATCCTGCACAATGTGGCCAGGCAGGTGTTGGACAGGGTGGCACACAGCAACATGGTCCCCGAGGACAATGGTAACGTGTCTGTGGCTTTGTCGCTTTTCAGTGAGGACACATTAATGTCTGGGACACCATTCAGCCCTGTTGTTGGCACCAGGCCTCTCCTCACCCACATGGATGGAAGGAAGGTGGCCCTTTACAGAGCACACATTACATGACAGAGACTTTCAATTAGAGTTGACCTCATTTAATCCTGACTGTAGGACCTTAGGTAGGTTTTGCACACATTAAAGAAACACACAACAGATAAACTAGATGACGTTAAGCTCTGCAAAAGGAGCTGAAGAAGGATTTCAAAGCAGGCCAGACGGATTTGAAAACAATCCAAGTCATGCTGAGTGCAGAGCAGATAAGTAGGAGAGGGAGAGGGGTAGGGACCACGGAGATGTCACTCATTGACAGGAGGGCTACAGTCGTTCCTGGGCAGGCAGGTCACTATCCTTTACTTACACAGAAAATGTTTACTGAGCACCCACTGGGCAGCAAGCACTGTGCAGGGCACTGGGGAGGTGGCAGCGAGCAGATCCTCTGCTAGCGTCCACTCCACCACTGAGGCTATCAAGAGCCACACAAGCGAATCTACATCCCCACTCACTCAACTGTTGCCTGAGGACGTCTGTGTGTGACAGCACCGTGGGGGCTGACTACTGAAGGGGTGCAGAGAAGGCTTCTCTGCGTAGAAGGTGCCTAAGCTGAGCAGAGGGACAAGCGGCCTTGACCCTGTGAGGGCTGGTGAGGCAGTATCTGCTGAGGCCTTGGGGCAGGAAGGTCACAGTGCAGCCATTAAAAGAAGGTCAGTTTTTACTATATGATAATTAAAAGAATAAATTAAAATAAAAAAGGCAGGCTAGTCAGGCTGGAGTGCAGGGAATCAAGGGGACACCACTGGGGATTAGGCTGGAGGGGATGGGCAGGGCCCTGCCACCCTGACTCTGGGGGCTGTGGTTCTGCCTAAAAGCAACAGAAAGCCACGGAAGGATCTTCACATGTCAGAGTGTGCATATGCGTGCAGGGGGCATGTGCCAGCAAGGGGTGTTACCTGACCCATCTTGCGAAAGGACACACTGCAGGGGCCCAGAGCAGGTGCAGCAGGATCCGTCAGGGGATGAAGAGGGGAAAGGTGGTGGCAGGTGGGGTCAGGGTGGTGACAGCACAGACACAGAGGGTGAACTTGAGAGGGATTTAGGTAGCAAAGCGACAGACGCTGAGGGCAGAGCAGATAAGGAGGAGAGGGAGCGGGGTAGGGACCATGGAAATGCCACTCACTGAGAAGACCCCCAGGGAAGAGAGGCTGTTAGCCCAGAGTGTGACCTCTGTGACCTCGGCAGTGTTCAGTCTGCAAGCCTCCGTGTCACCCAAATGGCAAGAGGGCGGGTGTGAAGAGGGGCCTGGGCGAGGATGCGCACCTGGGAGCTCCTCACACCTGCACCTACATGGAGAAGACCTCACTGTCTGATCTCTGTTTCTGCCTCCAGCTTGAATACAAATTCCTCAAGGGCATGACCACTTTTCTCTGCATTTCCAGAGAGTAAACACTGAAAGTACTCAGTGCTATTACAGGTGAAGGGTCCTTAAGCTTAGCAATGGAGGCCTTGTGGACAACGAATTGTTTTACTAAAAATGACCCCACGATCACTGCTTTCCAGCACAGACTTGTGAACCCATCCCACAAACTATTAGGACTCTGTCTGCTGTCCCCCTTCCCACCTCCCCTGGGATGTCTCAGACGCTCCGATTGGGCTCCTGGGTCTGACATCCGACAGCCTCGTGGGGGTCCCAGCCAGAGAGCTGGAGCATACTGCCCACTGTGCAACCCACTGGGAAGCCCCATCTGGCCATGAGAGGGTGAACATTTGTAGCCACAGTTGCAGTTCAGGGAATGAGGATCTCTTTCTTAAGCTCCTGTCTGTGGGAATGTTCAGAAGGGGGTGGGGGTTACTACTAAGACAGAGCTCATCAGGAGAAACAGCAGTTTAAATAATTCAGCAGTATTCAGAAAATAAGTCTGGGGCTCTGAAGTCCTGAAGGGCCCCTGCTGTGCACATGTCAGGAGGATCAGAAGGAATGAGCCCCTCTTTTAATCTCTTATCTGTATTCCTCAACAGCATGGACTGCGGAGTGACGATAGGGTGGGCTTTGCAGGTCATTTAAAAGGAAGAACAATGATTTATATTCATATTGTTTTGGGCAGATGTCTACCCATTTCTGAATTAAGTGTATCAGCCAGTTGTAGCAGATCAAGTAGAACTTGTGTGGGTACAGGAGAGTTAATAGAATGGGGGCCTACTTTTGTATTCATTAACAGTTTCTTGGGGGTTCCCTAAGTCAGTCAATTCCTTTTCAGCCTTCCAATATAACAGGGACTTCATTTAAGCTCCTTATTTTAGAGGGTTAATGTCAAATGCCCCCAATCCATTTTAATCCAATCTATAAATAACATATTTTATATATATCACACACACACTCCTGTAAACATACACCAATTTTAATGATAGTAGTAATAGGAGCAGTTACTATTTGTTGGGTCCATTTACTTGGTAAGTAGATGACAGACGTCCATCACGTTAGGCCCACTGCTAGAAAGGCAGTGGTAACCAAGACAAAGCTGGGCTTAAAGTCTAGAGGGCCAGACAGACAGAAACACCAGGGATGAACTCTACAGAATCCAAACTGGGTGACAGGGTGGGGGCACCTTGAGACCAACTGCTCAAGGAAGGCCTTCCCAAAAGTGACATTTCAGCTATGACCCAGGTAGCTGGTCAAACTCAATCAGATCCTGTGACAGGTCACTTCAGGTACGTTTCTGGGCCAGTGTAGGGGCTGCAGGGAGGGAGGCAGAGCTACAAGACAGGGCTGGCCAGGTTGGGCATCTGTAAGCCCAGGTCGGGGTGGGCTCTCCCTGTGTGGCAGATCACCTGGGAGGCTGGGTCGCAGACGGCGGGGGCCTAATGCACAGTGGGTGGTCAGGTCACTGATGAGGTGGCAGACACTGGTGCCTTTTACACAGGTGAGGAACACTGGGGACACACAGTAGTGTGCCCGTGGGGAAGGCATGAAGAATTCTGTTTGGGCATTTGAAAGGAGCCTATGAGACACCCACTGAAATGCCCTGTGGCTGTCAGTGCCAGGCACTGCGTGGAGGGATTGCATATCCATGCCAACCTTTCCACAGGTGGCACTGCTCTGAGCTCACAGATGAGAACAACTCATTAACCTGTCCCGGGACACTCAGCCCCACTGGGACAGCCGGCTGGCTCCTGCTTGTGGGCAGTAGTTACCGTATAAATACACACATCCTGATTCAAACTGGTAAGGGCGGCCTGCTGGGTGGTCACTCATTGCCAAGGGCACTGAGCTGAGGGAGGCTTGTTGGAAGGAGGAACTGCACAGGCACTTCCTGGTTAATTAAAACTAGAAGTACCTTCAGCGGAAAGTTTGCTGCAATTACAGGCAAGCAGACAATATTCTCCCTGACAGTGCGTACTCCCTGGGGATTGGAGGGGACAGAGGGACAGAAGGGAAAGCTGGACTTCTCCCTCGTGTCTTGATGCAAAAACAGAGTGACTTCAGGTTTTAAAGGGACCCGTCAGGAGGAAGCACCAACAGGGATTCAGCACCCTGGCTCACTGGGAAGTTTCTGAGCCCGCGGTTTGCGGGGCAACCCACCCCCGGCTCGCCTGCGGCCTCCCACCCAGAGGGCTGGGGCAGATAGGAGCATGCAGTGATGAGACCACAGCACAGGGACAGCTGACAAGCCCAAGATGTGTCCTGGCAAGAAACACTATGTCAGTGATGACTTAGGCACGGGGGAGGACACGGAAAATCAGAGCACAGGAGGTGTTCTGCTTTCGAAATGACTGAGAAAGGGCAAGCGTGCTGGGGAACCAGACTTGAAAGGGTTAAGTATCAGCCCTAACTGTGGACTCCTGCCTGTCTTTCTGGAAGGCCCTCTTTTTTTGTGTGCCAACTGGAGTGTTCTGTTTTGCTCAGTACATATTTTCAGTTATGCTTCTGCGTAAAATAACAGAATCAGAAACATCATCTTCACAAGGGTAGCACGCTGCTCTCTCTGTGAGAGATCGGGTTTGCGTTTGGCTCATGTCACAAATGAAAGAGCTTTAGAAACTGCAGCTCAGCCCTGATGCATTGTGATCAGAAAGCCGCCACCCCCATGCAGTTCTACTTGACGGGCTCCAGCTGCCTCTGCTCCTATAAAGATGGAGAACAAATTACTCTCTTCATCAAGATAAGATGAAGAGAACAGGAAGACTTGAATTAGTCCGGGGGCTGTGGTGGAACCTACCTTCCTCGTTGGTGAACATGAAACTCTCAGTGCCCCAGAGCAGTCTCCTTTTATGGGCCTGTCTTCTGGGACAATGAACATATATAGTGTGTGCACTATAGGGTGGGTGCGGTCTGTT